TTTATACTGGTGTAACTACTGTAACAGGATTCTGACCAATATATTAAAAACCTTAACCAGAATTCCAGTTTAACCAAGATCTGAAAACCTGCTTTACTGTTTGCTTCAAATCTTGGTTGCTGCTACTGCTGCTGGTTATTACATTTATACCCTGTCTTTTCAATACAAAGTAGTATTCAAGGCTGCTAAAAATCTTTGTAAAACAATTAAACAAAACAAATATAAGCATAAAATTATGAAAATCAAAATCAAGTGTCATAAAAGTCATTAAAACAATTAACTGTACAAAGGTAAAATATTCCAGTATATCAATTTTAAAAGGATGTGTCTCTTCATGCTCTTCCTTAAAAACAGTCAAAATCTGGTTCTAACTCTAAAGGACAGCATAAGACTGAGGAGAAGGGACTCTAGGAAATAGCTACAGTTAAGTTCTAAAAGTGCAAATAAAAGTTGGTGATAAAACATGCTACGACAGTAGAGGCTAAAAGGAAAATCAGATACTCCGCATTTTTAAACTAAATAATGAACACTTTCACTTCCAGCTGAAAAGAGATTCATTTGAAACTGTGCTTCCATACAAAACCCAACCTCCCTGGCTAGTATCTCACAATCCCTATATATTCTACCAATGCTTATCAATGAGCGTATGTACAAATGTACAAACATACAGTGTGATTCCACACTACGTTTTACAGAAGATGGCAAATTACTTTGGCTTACAATTCCCAGAACTTCCTAGCTAGAATGCTCCTATGACTGCAGAATTCCCAGAACTATAGTCTGAAAAGGTAATATTGCCAAATTCTGGTATTTGATCATTTGTGCACATGATTATAATCTTTTTATGATCTTTATTTTAATTTTTTTGCTGCAATGCACATCCATGCAAAAATAAAATAGCGAATGAAAGTCATTAAAAGGCTATGATGTGAAGGGATTACCTTTAGATAATGGAGAAGGTGCAGTCAGGCAAAGGAAGAATGAGCAGGAAAATGTCCAACTGTGTTACTGTTTGTGAAATGGGAATACTCCTCCGCAGAAGCAGATGCATGCGGAAATTGTTGTAGTACTAAACATTGCAAAGCATCTTGTTTGAACCAAATGTTGTTGTTTGCAAATGTGAGTAAAATGGGGAGGGTGAGGATTCAACAGACTGAGAGTGCCATAATCCTGATTGAAATGTATTCCCAAAGGAGAAAAAAATCTTGTCAGTTTATGCTATGGTGTTTATTTAGGGTAGAAGTTAAGGTATAAAAAAATGCATCAACACAACAATTTCTTGAGTGAAAGGTGGGGGTTGATCTGTGTCTGAATTTCCTTGCTTTGGAGTATAGAGATTCATCCAAAGGGTTTTCGTTTGTTTGGGAATTTCCCTCCTTTGGAAATGTTTGAATACATTTTAATCAATGTTGCAAGAAGATCGTCTGTCTTTGCCAATCAACTTAATGCAAAATGAAAATGCTCCCATATGAATAGTACAGTCCAGATTCATATAAGAAGCAGATTAATTTCTCACAAGAGAAAAGAAGTTGCCATTTAAGATTGTCTGTGAAAGAGGTAGGTTCTACATACTAAGTGAACATGTTACTCATAAATTTGACCTCCATAGGATGTTGTGTGCTGTTCAAACTTCCTCTCAGGAAAAATACTTCGGAAACAGATAAATTCCACCAGCAGCTAAACTTTACCAGGGGCAGCGAGTAGGAAAGTACCACTTTCGCTTGTTAATTGCAATTCTGCATTGTTAACTTAGGTAAAAGGCACACATCTAGACTTCAGGCTTTTAGGAGGTAGAAGGACTGAGAATGGCATAATCAGTGAATAACAACTATAGTGGAAAAGTTGTCAAAATGAATGTCCTCTATTATTTGTCTCTGTGCAAAAATTAACATACAAACCTTTAATTAATCATAACTATACAGTGGTGCCTCGACTTACGAACTTCCTGACATACAACCATTTTGAGTTATGACCAGCTCCAGCTGCAAAATTTTGCTTCAACTTGCGACTGGAGCTTCGAGTTACAACCAGAAAAAGGCAGAGAAAAAAGGCGGGGAATTCAAATTGCTAACTGTTGGTGCTGAAGAGGCTGCTTCTTTGTAGCTCTTTCGTCCCAGCAGTTAGAGAGTGTGTGATCAGAGGAGGCTTTAGCTTACCTGGTAAGGTGCTGCTTTCTACTTTTTAAAAACTGTTCTGGGTGGGTTTTGCAGCGTGGTTTTGGGCTGGGTGGTGGGATTATGTTTCTATGCTGTGATGGGTCTTGCAGGGTTGGTTTGTTTTTTGTGTTTTTTCCCCATTTCCAATGGGTCTTGCAGGGTTTGTTGTTTGTTTGGGCTTTTGCCCTACTTCCAATGGATCTTGTAGAGTTTGTTTGTTTTTCTGGGGGGGAGGGAGTTTCCCCATTTCCGATGGGTCTTGCAGGTTTTTTTTTTTCAATTCTGAACGGTCTTGCACGGTTTGTTTGCTTTCTGCTTTCTGCTTTGCTTTCTTTTTTTTTTTGGAATTCCCGAAGGGTCTTGCACAGTTTGTTTGCTTTTTGCTTTGCTTTTGTTGCATTTCTGAAGGGTCTTGCATGGTTTGTTTGCGTTCTGCTTTGCTTTTTTTGCATTTCTTTTCTTTTTTTCCCTTCCACCGGAATGGATTAATTGTGTTTCCGATGGGTCTTGCAGTGTGGTTTGTGGTTTTTTTGGGTGATTTTTTTCTTCAGCTGGAACAGATTAATTGCATTTCAATGCATTCCTATGGGAAATGGTGCTTTGATTTACGACCATTTTGAGTTACAGCCGGAGTTCCGGAACCAATAAAGTTCGTAAGTTGAGACACCGCTGTATAATGCCATTTATTGGGGGGGGGTAAGTATCTATCATGACCCTATGCAGTAGTTCAGAATTATTTGTTCTTATTCTGCCTTATAGACAGAGAGAGAAAGAAGGGATTCAAGGGACCCTACAAATGGTCCCCTGATCTCACTGAATGTAATGACCCTTGCTTCTAAATAAATAAGCATAAGACTGCTGTGCTAGTCTAGGATAGGGCACAGAGGAATAGATTTAGAACTACTCAAAAATAACTAAGTTATTCCACTGGGAATAAAGAGCATGTAATAACTGAAGGAGGGTCTAAGACTGCCTAGTGATGAGCTTTCCATTTAGGATTGTCAAAAAGCTGGACAGACATCTACCACACACATTTTACACACAAATAGGTCTACAGGATGGACTGTTAAGCCTTTCTAGTCTCATACAATATGAATGGAAAAATATTTGCAGTACACATTGATGTGTTGACTAACTTCTGCTTCGGCAAACACAGCAACATCTGTCATCTAACAGAATCTTTACATACACGATGATGTGACTCCTTGGAACATAATATGAATGCCTCATGTAATGTCCAAACATAGAAACTAAAAGTATGCTACTGCAGAAAATTAAGAACTCCAGCAGTACAATATGAATGCAGTTAAAACCTTTGAAGTCTACTAAAGGATAATCAGTTGTTCCCCTTTGAAACAAACCTGCAAATCTTGTTAATGCTGCCGCACTTTTATGAGCATTCAGTGCTCTATGCTTTATGAGGGGGGAGGGGGCCAGAACCCGAGGCGTGAAAGATTATGCCCAAATATTTGTAGCTGGAAACCTGCTCTATGGGATGACCATTGATAGCCCAATTGTGCTTTACTCTTCTACTGACCACGAGAACTTGGGTCTTCTGGTAATTAATTACTAACTGCTCTCGATTGCTGTAAGAAGAAAGCTCCCTCAAGAGTCTTCTCAGTCCCACACGTTAATGAGAGTAGAACCACATCGTCTGCATAAAGCAGAATTGATAGATGACGTAAATGTAGCTTGGTGGGATGAAATTCAGGCTTAGATAAATCTTCAACTATGTTATTAATATAGAAGTTAAACAAGGTGGGCGCCAGTATACAACCCTGTTTGACCCCACTGGTGTCCAACTGGGATTGGATAGAACTCCAGCTGAATTACCGAGAATTCTCAGGTGGCTATTTTCATACAGTCGTCTCATTAGCAGAAGCAGTCGTCTATGTTCATACATTCAAATTTGGCCCAAAGTTTATTTCTTGGGATAAAATCGAAGGCAGACTTAAAATCCATAAAGGCTGCATACAAGGCGCCTCCTGGGGGGTAGTATTTATGAGCTAGATGTTTCAACATATGCCTATCTTGGATTGCCTGTGTCCATGTAATGATGGCCAAGTGGAAACCGTAGGTCATGTTTTACTGTACTGTACTGTCTTTTCTATAGAGATCTACGCACCAACCTCCTGACCCCAATTATTCTCAGATATCCAGGGAGACCTGATGAATTTTACATCAAGCTACTTCTTTCTGATCAAGACTCCCTTATTACATGCTCTGCAGCAAAATTTTGTGCAGCAGCAATGGGACAGTGCTCCCTTATAGTCTCCTGAGTTCACAGGTTGACTGGTTTTAACATGAGGGTGGTTTATTGTCTAGCGTAGAGGAATGTTGTGATCCCAACTGAAGAGACAATGGCTCAAAGGATAGCTATAAAATGCTGCATTTTATTCTTCCCATATTTTACAACCAGTACACAATTAATTATTTGTTGTACACTTTTAAAATTACATTTTGTATATTTTAACCATATATGTTTTATGAACTGACTGTACATTTTAAAACTGCATTTTGTATATTTTAGCCATAAATATGTTTTATGAGCTGGTCACCCGACCATAATAAATAAATTCATAATAAATAAATTCATTCAAACTGCCAATCTTTTTTGACAGCAAATTTTATACTGAATCACAGGAATGCAGAAATATAGTTGATTATTATTTCAATCAAATGCATAACATTATTTAGTTTTCTATAGCATGCAGTCTGAAAGAAAAATACACACCTAGAAATAATTACCACATATTTTCAACCACTATGTTGGACTGTAAGTTTCAGCTTAGCTTTTCTCTTTCAAGTTTCACAAATAATGCATAAGAAAGCAATGACTCTTACCTTTGAGGTTTCCGAATGTCCCAGAGGCCTACACCTTCCTTTGAGTTGGCAGTAGCTAGTAATCTGGGCTCTACTGGATTGAACATTACACTATGGAAGGCTGATGGATAATTGGCCAGACAAAAGGGTTCTGTTAACAGGATACAAAGATCAGATCATTCATTTTAAAGATACACACTTTTTAGAGATACACACATGTGCAATGTTCTGACATCTGCAAACATCTTCTAGAGTTCACATGCTGTATAAGGTTGGAATCTATCAGATTTTATGCCATCCATTCCCAGAATTTCCATACACTAAATTATAAAACATTAATTCCGGGAACAAACAAAATGCAGTACCTTTTATTTCTACTTAGTAACAAACAAATTAAATTCTAATTCATTTAGGAGATCCTGAAACTGTGATCAATATGCTGAATAGTTTAATTTAGATGCATATCTTATATAGGACTTTGAAACAAGTTTTACTTAAAATGCATAGAAAATATATTTATCTGCATGCAGAAAACTCTGCTGTGGTCTGTAAAACAATTTCCCAAAGTATTTCAACCACATGACATTATATCTAAGTAAAATTAAATTATGGCATCAAACTAATGTAGCACTGAAATTGTTTTAACAAATAAGAGACTTTTGCCAGTTTTTTTTATAAACACTTAATTTTTTTTCTTAGCTGCTGCTCACAAGTAGCCGAGATAACTGCCCCATCCACATTCTAAAACAGGGCTGCTGTTACTTGTTCAAGATGCTCAAATTCAGGAAACTCAATACTCTGACAAGATTCAAATATTCTACTCATATTTACTCAATTTTTGAGCACTCCTATCATTTCCACCTTCCTGAAAACGTGTAATTAGCAAGATTCTTTATGCCAGACATTTCTAAAGTCTGATCAAGATCAAAAACCTAACAAGCGATGGCCTCCTTACTTGCTCTGTTAACAACTGGGTTGCCTACACCCCTTTCATAAACTAAAATCCAGGGAGAGATCATACATATACTTAGGTTCTAATGAAAAAAACAAACATTCTCACTCAGTTTGACCATTTTAAAATTTGCCTATAATGAGACTGTAAATCTAAACAAAATTAACAGCTGCTGAACACAATGAGAGTTGCTTGCACTTACATGCTTGTGCGTAAATATACTTAGAACTGTATTGAGAGTTAAACAGAATTACTACCCTTTCAGGTAACAAATCCTATATCCCATATAAAGCCACCGTTATAAGAGTTCAACTTTACATTCCCCCAGAATAACTCTGAGGCAGAGGCACGAGCTTGGTAATCACAGTTCATAACTGGCCATCTCCGCAATGAACTTGTCCATGTACCATGGGCATATCTGTGTACATTCCCCCTCCTGTCCTCACCAAACACACATGTGAAGGTGGTGGGAGTAACAGAAAGGCTTCTCCTGGTGATTTTAAAACCCAGGTAGGCTCATAAAGGCAAACACAATCTTTCAAATACCTTGGACCCAAGTTGTTTAGAACTGTTTACGTAAAAAACTGCACTAAATGGACTGGCAGCCAGTGGGGCCATTGTAACAGGGGAGCTACATGATCCCTTTAACCAGCATCAGTTAGCAATCTAGCTGATTCAGTCTTGGATCCACCGAAGTTTCCGAACACTTTCCAAAGGCAACAAAGACATGTGTTGCTATAGCCAGGTCAGACATATCTAGGAATGGATGGGCACAGCTGGCACTCTCGTTTTAACTGTGCAAATGCATTCCTGGCCACACCAAGGCTTGAGCATCCAGGCTTAAGAGCCAACAGGAAAACATCTGAACCCATCATGCTCCTGGGTGGACCATCTTAATCAGTCACCTCTGCAGAGTCTCTGAGTTCCAGTGAGTCTAAAGCTCAACAGGTAACAGAGGTATTAGTATTTGCTAATATAATGCTGTGTTCATCTTGCATAAAAATCAGCATACTGTGTATTTTTAGTATGCAAAAGCATATCTACATAGAAAAAACTGTTTCATTCATTCCAAATGAGAAAATAGGCCACACCAGTTTTTTTCCCCATTTTTTTACAAGGTTTCCTTTTTTTATGCTGGAAAATCTGGGGAAGTCCATAGAAGAAGAGAACATAAAAAGGAGGGAGAATGGTCTCCTCCATGTATATTTTTATGTCTCTCTTGCCTGCAGCCTGAGATCTTCACATATCTACACAGTACAAATTCCTTTCAATGAAAGAGGGCAACATTTACATGCAAGCATACATAGCCCTCACCTCCTTGGGAAGACTCTCTGATATCCCAGATGAGAACTCGGCCATCATCAGATGAACTTGCAAAAACATTATCATTCACTGGACTCACTGACAGTCCATACACTGCGTCTTCGTGGGCAAACACATCCAAGGTTTCACCACTGAAACAGATGCAGATATCAGTCTCTCATCTTTGCACCCAAGCAAAGGTAACTCAAAACTATTCCCGGAAAATACTTAAAAGCTGATTATTCTGTATATTCCGTTATAAAAACAACATAAACTGGGAATTTTATCAGCAAAGATTATAGGGCTTATAGCAAAATTTTTACATCTTTACTATGACCAGTATTCTATTGACTTTCCTGAAAATGCATAGGATTGGTTTGTAAACAAAAGACTTTCTTTATAGAACTTACCACTTGTGCAATGGCAGTCCTTGCACAAGTCACATGATCCTTCATTACTACGCTGGAAGGAGTTTCTGCTGAGATGAAGCTCAATAGAATACTAGCCTCAAAATAAGTCCCATTCAGTTCAGTAGAACTTCCCTAGTGAATGTGTCTAGTTCCACTAAACTCAGCTCCCACTGAACTGAATGCAAATGGATACAAGATTGCAAGCTAAACCTTCAGACATACTGTACTTCAAAAATAAGCTTTATGCACATTTCTGTGGTATGCAATCTAATAAACATGTATAGTAAACAGGACAACAGGTGGAGTTAGAAAAAAACAGGAGAAAAAGGTAATAAGCAGAAGGAAGTTAAATGTTTGAATGACAACAGAGAGGTAGCAAAATGTGACAGTTTATGCAAAATACATAGATATTAAAGATTGCTCATCTAACAGTCAGTGCTCTGGATCGTTGGGTCCTTGAGAAGCTGTGTAGGTTCTACTTGTTTCCTCCCCCCTTGGCACTGAGGAAAATGCATTTACCTTTCAACATCATGTAGCAAAACTTGTTCATCATTACCTATAAACAGAAATAAGTTTGTTATCATATATATAATGAAACTTCAGTAGGAAAGACTTAAGCAATTTTCATTTGGAAGAAGAAAAAAGACATACAGAGAAAGAATTAGTATCCTTCTGGACCAATAATTTAATTGCCAACATTTGGCTCCCAATTCTCTGCTTGCCTCTGGCCAAAATCATATTAGTTATGCCAGATGGGTTATGCCCATTGGTCTAACTTTCAGCAGCAAATTGCTGCTCATTTAAAAGCTAGGACAGATATTTCCTACAGCACACCGGTCACGGAATTCACTATGTGATAAGAAATACCTGTGTTGACCTTTTAACTTGAGAATATTTGCTGCTCAAAGAGTGGCTAGTGGAGAAGATGGTTAAGAACTCTCTACTCCTGCCTGTCCTTCTGTCCTACAAAGTTACCATATTTCATGTCAATGACAAACACCAGGTTCAGAACTCTGCTTGCTGCTATATATCATGTGCTTACTTCCATCTGTAAACTGGTGGCTTCACTAGAAACAGGTGATTTTTTTTTTCAGTGGCTCCATCAAAGCATGTCCCAGCTGCCTTTTGTTACCACAACTACATGCTAATTGCTTATTCTCACAACTGCATGTTCCTTTTTGCATCCTAACTGCATGATATCCCACCCACATGACACTGATTTAGGGGAGAGGAGAATCTTCCCATGCTAGATAACTTTGCTGTTCTTCAGCCTGCTTTTTCCTCTCTCCTTTTTTAAAAAAATAACATCTGTGGACAAAAACAATTCAGCATATAAAAGGAATGTACAAGTTCCTGAGAGGAACTGGTGGGGGAGGGGAAGAGAGAAGAGGCATGCTTTAGCTATTTTCTACTCTGAAGTATATTGGCATATTGATGTCTTATGAGATGTACTGCCCATTTGACATGCTGAATAGCTTATGTCAAACACTATAACCAGGCTGAGAGTTCAATTTCCCTCTATGCCTCCAGGAGAAAAACCAACCTGTTTTACTTTGAACATATCATGCAGTTCTGGAGTACAATGTACAGTGGTGCCTCGCAAGACAAATGTAATTCGTTCCGCGAGAAGCGCTGTCTAGCACGGCCATAGAAGAAACCGTCTTGCGAGGCACCATAGCGATCGCAAAAACCAACCATCTTGCGGGTTTTTCGTCCCGCGAAGCATTCGTCTTGCGAGGCACTACTGTATGAGTACTCATCTAGAAAACCCTGAAAAAAGGGACATCATTACTCAGAATTGACTTGACCACATGCAATTACTGTTGTTATTCATAAACAAGGTCAAGTCTATCACAGCCATATTCCGTACAACAGCAGTCCAATTCAGAAAAAAGTCATTGTTTTCTCTTGTGCTTTCTCTGAAACTTTTCCTTCTTACCTCCAGAAAAGACTCTGGTATTTCCACTATTGAAAGCTAGGCAGAATATATTAGAATGATGCTCCCCTTTGAGTTGAACAGGCTTGACTTTGGAGTGAATTGCTTCTTCCATATGCCACAGGAGAACTCTCCGGTCATCACCACCTATGTAATACAGAGCGTAAGAATCAGTAGAGGAAGGCATCCTACTGTGTATAAGAAATACAAATGGCTTTGAGTCTGCCTTCTGATCTATATAGGAGCTATTACAATATAAGCAATTATCATCACTTGTTCTTTTTCCAGAAAAAAGGCTATCATTCACACATCCAGCCTCAAAGCCAACCCTTTTTTACTATTTAGTTCCATAGATGGCCAAAGGGCCGACACTCTTACTGATTGATTGCAATTCATACATTACTCATCAAAATAATCTTTCGATGATGGTCTGCTATTCATTTGCTTTGGATTTTTGGTTATATCCTTTTATTTTGTTTTGTTGACTTATATTTGAGTGAAAAATACATTTAAACATGTTTTTGTTTCAACTGGTGTGTAGCCAGTTTTGCAGATATAAATTATCATCAGTTTCCAGAGACCAGGATACAGATTATTTCAAACATTAGAACATCAAGACAATTAAGGGAACATTAGAAAGGATATAACAGAATAGGAGGCTAGATTTTATGTAAGAACAAAATGATGTGTTGTGATAAATTATATTGACTTTAGCTAAACCAGGGGTCAGGGAACTTTTTTACCTTTTACCCCCTCCCCCCAAAAATTTATATACACCGACATTATCCCCTTGATTTGAAAGGAAGGAAATCATACATTATTTGAATTAAAAATATTACTGAATCTACACAGGCTGTGTACCGAACTAGCAGGATGCATCAAATTTGATAAAGATGTGCACTATTTTTGCTGGAACACATTGCACTCCAGCCATGGTATGGTATAGGGAGTAGTAAGGTGTCCAACGTGCCTAGCAAGTTGCATTAAATTTTTTCTAGACACAAAATTCAAAGATGCCTGCTTCTTGGAAGGAAAGCAATGATAAACCTAGACAACACCTTAAAAAGCCACCTCCCCCCGCATTAATTCAAGGTTTCTCTTTTTCTTGCCTGTTCTTTTTCATAGTTTTGAGTCAGTCTCTCTCACTCACTCCCTCTCCCTCTCACACACACATCCACATACATCCACCCTCCCTCCATTTCCTCCCTCCATACATTTTCTACAATTACATAATTTAAATAAGCTTGAACATCCTCAGTCTCTCGCACCTTTCTTCCCTCCTTCCCTTGCTTGCTCCTTTCCCTCTTGCTGCTTGTTTGCAGTCATTTCCAGAGGAAGCAGTCACTCAGTAGCCCCGGATTGATTGATTGATTGCCTGGGGCTAATCCACAGCTGCAACCAATCAAGGAGCTTATCTTCCGATCTCTCAACTAAGGGAGCATTTACAAGTGCCTGCTGCAACAAGGAAGTAACAAGGAGAGGTGGCTTACAATTGGAGATTTAGCTGGAGAGGGTGGGGGTGGGAGGGGTGTAGCACTCTGTTCATTACCCCCAGGATTTTCACTTTTACCCCATTTGGGGTAATTTACCCCTGTTCACTGACCTATGGCCTAAAGTATGAACTTCTCAACTATCTGCTCTTCAAACGTCATGCTATATTTGAACTTTAGGCAAATCCAACAAGGCAATTCTTTTATTTTCATCATTTGAATACTTCTTTAGATAAGGGAAAGGCTGAAAATGGCTTTTCTGTTTACCATATATCAGGCCCAATCACCAAGAAAGCAACATGAAAACTGTGTGCATATTCTGAAAAACTCTAGGGCTCTTTCCTAATATTTTGAAACACTGACATGTCATTTTCAAAAACAAGTATAGGCTTGCACTCACAGCACTAACCACACTTTGTCTGGAGACATATCAGGTAGGTAACTCTAATAATAGGAACAAAAGTTTCCAATCCTCTCCTCACAGTCATAGTGGGGCAACGCTCATTTTAAAACAAGTTGCTTTAGAAACAAGTGACATTCCACAGTAATACACTGGGAAGACTTTTTAAAAATTTTGTAGTATCCATGGATGTAATTTATTACTTTTCAACAGAACAAGGAAAACTGTCTGCCTGTTAGTTAATAATGGTATGGAGGGTTGCCTGAGCAGTGACAAAAGGGCCATATAGGTGGCTGGCAGTGCTTGGAAACCATACATTAAAATTAATGTATTCACATTTAACTTGTTACCTTTTTTGGACCAATGCCAGAAAAATGTTCTTTAAATCTAATGCTTAAACACCACTTCTTTGAAAGCAATGTTAATTAGAATTCTACTAATCAAAATATTAGTTTTGCACATTCGTCTGTAGTCAGGATTCCTCAGTCCACCTTCTCCAAGGTCCAGAGTAAAAAGTCTCTATAATATAATGACAGTTGTATCCATCAAGTCAGTTCTGACTAATGGCAATGATTTCCAGGATTTCCTAAGTACAGTGTAGTCCATTCACCATGCCCTTCTTCTTGGGGTGTTCTTGAATCAGAGAGCCTGCCAAAGACCACGCAGGCTGGCTCTTCTACACATTGGGAAATTAAATTGGCTGACCTAACATTTGCTACTACCTCAGTAGCTGTCTGGGATCAGACAGGATGAGGCTTATATATTACGCAAAGTTTACCATGTTATGCTAAACAACTGCTGATAGGAATGACCAACTGGCAACTGTTTCCAGCTTTGGGCCTCTTGATGGTCCTGGACTATAGTGCATGCAGAACCAGAGAAATATCACATGAACTTAGCTGTGTTAACTAAGTTTTCTGAATGTTACAATCCAAATGCGTGTATAGGTACAAGCTAGGACAGCCTACCTAATTAAGTGATTATTTATCTAATTAATGAATAAGTTAACTAATTAATTTTCACAATTAACATGCTCCACTCACATAGTTGGTAGTGCTATACCTCACTGCCTTTTTTTGTGGAGCAGGCATTGTAGAGGCATGGAAGCTAAAGAGGGAGAAAAGTGGCAGTGAAGAAAAAAAAGGGAAAGCAAAGCAAGCACAAATGCACTCACTTCCCCAGTCACAGGCTGGGCTATTTATTTATTTATTCAATTTTTACCCCGCCCCTCTAGACAACGTCTACTCGGCTACGTTCTGCTTTAGGCCCTCAGACTTCTCTGCATATGCATAGTCGAGACTATGCAACGCAAACAAGATTTAGTAACCTGGTTTCATTTATTTTATTTTATTTATTAAATTTATACCCTGCCCATCTAGACCGAAGTCTACTCTGGGCAGCTAACAATAATAGAATAAAAACAATATAATCAAATAAAAAACAACAATAGTGATATAGTTCAAGATGGGGAAAATATTCAAGTGATGACAGGAGGGAAAGCCTGCCTAAAGAGCCAGGTCTTCAGTTTGCTCTTAAAAACACCCAGCAAAGGAGTCAGACAGATCTCTGGGGGCAGACTATTCGAAAAGCTAGGGGCCACTGCTGAGAAGGCCCTGTTTCTTGTTCTTTCTCTCCGGGCCTCCCTCGGCATTAGGTCCCTCAGCTGCCCTTCCTGGCTAGAATGAGTGATTCAGGTAGATCTAGGCGGGAGGAGACGTTCTGCTAGATATCAAGGTCCTAAACCGTTTAGGGCTTTATGTCATCATTAACACTTTGAAATCAATGTGGAAATGAACGGGCAGCCAATGCAAGGCAGCCAGAGTGGGGGAGACATGTTGATGTTTTCTCACCCCAATAAGAAGTCTGGCCACCACATTCTGTATCATTCTGTTTCCCAGTAAACACAGAATCCAGACCAAGAGGGTCTAACTGAAAAGCTTTATTTTAAAAAGAACAAGAGGTAAACATGACAGAAAGGCACATCTGGCAAAGCCAGGAAACATTGGCTGCAAAAGTCAAGAAAACGCTACATTAAAGTCTAAGATCACTGAAACAAGCAGAAAACTCAAGGACACATAATAATCTATTCTGCCATAATGTTATACTTATGCCTTTTCTCTCTAAGACGTGCTGGCATGCATATCTCCCTCCTACTGAAATTTCATTCTGCTAGCCTGCTTCCTAGCTAGCTTAACTTTCAGAGCAAGATCATTTAACTTTTCCTTGTTCTTTTGTACTTTCACCATCAAAACAGTTACATGCGTGAATTCGGGGACATGTATCTAAGCTGGGAATCTCTTTGAACTGTTAAAGTGTCAATGACTTCCTTGAGGCTCTTGCCAGGGCTTCCTTCCCAATTGTTTATCTGGGAAAGATCAAGATTAGTATTTCATAGGGATAGGGGGACATCCAATTTAGCTAGCCTGGAAGTCTTCTGAAGCTGTCCACTTTGCTGAAATCAAAGGTAATTTTCAGGTCTTCACCTTATCTATCTCCTGAGAAACCTATACATGGGACAGGAAGCAACAGTTAGAACTGGATATGGAAGAACTGATTGGTTCAAAATTGGGAAAGGAAGACGATGAGGATGTATATTGTTCCCCGGCTTATATGCAGAATACATCATGCAGAAGGCTGGACTGGAGGAATCCCAAAACGGAATTATGATTGCAGGAAGAAATATCAACAACCTTCAATATGCAGATGATACTCTGATGGCAGAAAGTGAGGAGGAATTAAGGAATCTTGTAATGAGGGTGAAAGAGGAGAGTGCAAAAAACGGTCTGAAGCTCAACATCAAAAAAACTAATATCATGACCACTGGTCCCATCACCTCCTGGGAGGTGGAAGGGGAAGATATGGAGGCAGTGACAGATTGTAATTTATTGGGCTCCATGATCACTGCAGATGGAGACAGCAGCCACGAAATTAAAAGATGCCTGCTTCTTGGGAGGAAAGCGATGACAAACCTCGACAGCATCTTGAAAAGCTGAGACATCACCTTGCCAATAAAGGTCCGCATAGTCAAAGCTATGTTTTTTTCCAGTAGTGATGTATGGAAGTGAGAGCTGGACCATAAAGAAAGCTGACCGACAAAGAATTGATGCTTTTGAATTGTGGTGCTGGAGGAGTCTCTTGAGAGTCCCTTGGACTGCAAGGAGAACAAACCTATCCATTCTAAAGGAAATCAACCCTGAGTGCTCACTGGAAGGACAGATCCTGAAGCTGAGGCTCTAATACTTTGGCCATCTCATGAG